TATATTCAAACATTTCTGAGTATCTTTTGTGTATATTCAAACATTTCTGAGTATCTTTTGTGTATATTCAAACATTTTTAAGTATCTTTTGTGTACATTCAAACATTTCTGAGTATTTTTTATGTACATTCAAACATTTCTAAGTATCTTTTGTGTACATTCAAACATTTCTAAGTATCTTTTTAGTTCATTAAAAAATTTCTAATTATACTTTCAAATGTTTATATTTAAAGGTCAATATATACTTAAAGGGCGATGGTCGTCGCACTGTACATGTGCGAGACTTGTGTTGATAAACATTATGGAAATCACACGTATGAGTTTTGAACTGGGCACGACGTACACTGGCTGCTGCCTATTTCAAGTCCTCTCAATCACTAACAAAATTACCAAGTTTGTACTTGTTGATCTGCGGAACAGTTCACCCATATCTTGCACATGCACAGTGCTAGGACCACTGCCCTTTAAGTATATATATTCACATGATAAATACTTACAATGCACTATCACTCGGTAACTCTAGAGATGTATGCGATGCCTGCCATCTCAAGGGTTTCACAGGTCTATAAATAAAAAAAAATTGAATCAATACATGGAGCTTAAAAACAATGATTAAAATGTTAAGTTCAATTGTTATAATTTTAAACCAGCAAATGACGGTATCAAATTAATGGTTCCTCTGAAAAGGTGGGTTGGACTCAACTTCTACATTTATTGCCACATCTGCTAAAACATTTGGTCAATTAAGAAACATATACATATAGACCATTATCCAAACTTCGCAAGACACTGTATTATATGTGAAATCAAATGTACAAACAAGACAAACAAAAGTTAGAGTGTTGCAGTGGCATCACAACATCGAATCGTTTTCAACAGATGCAGAAGATTTTTGGGAGGTATTTCATGTTTAATAACACGCTATAAACATATTTGATGATGATCAATTTTGATGAAGTAAGGGTATCTCAATGCCATCTATATTTAGATATCTCCCTTTTTTGAAGGAGCTGAAATATGACAATGCACATTGCAAAAAAGAACTTCAAGTTTAAAATCAAAATATTACATTTCGTAGCAGATGTTCGTTTCGGTTCATTCACTCAAAGCATAAGATGTTGTAGAAGTACTAAAAATCTATTGACATGTATAGCACTTCATTAATGACCTTAATGAAAGAAATTTCTAAATAGGATTTTGTTGCAGTATTAACTTGCAAATTTGCAAGTGTGTATATCTCAGCTTATGATATTTAATATAACTTACCTTTTAAGATTGACATCTTTGAATAATACAGTAGAGTGACTGAGTAAAACATTCAGTATTCTGTGACTTATACGCATAGTGGGACTTATTACAATGGAGACATTCTGTAAACTCATTTTATTGTCTTCCTAGACAAGAAAAAAAAACAATGTGAAAATGAAGTATATTATTACCAGAGGCGGCGGCATGACTTTTGCATGAGGGAACGAGATCTGCTCACCAACTTTACTAGGGGTCCAGGGGCATGCTCCCCCTTAAAAATTTTTGATATCTAGACCCTCTGAAACGCTATTTCCTGCATTTTGAGGGGCAATTTTTGCTGACACAAAGGGTTCCAGCTTGATTCTGGAGGGGCGACACCCCCTAACATTTTTTTCGAGGGGGCAACTTCCCCTCTGCCCAGCCTGTGCCACCGCCACTGATTACAATGGAGACATTCTCTAAAGCTATTATATTGTTTTCTTTGAAATAAGAGAACAATGTGAAAGTATATACTATATATATTATTATAATACATATGTACTAACCTCAATAATATGTGTCATATGCACAATAATCCATGATAACAACGTTCTATTATATACAGGTAGTTGACCTAACAGCTGCTTAAATCCTTCAAGTTTCAGAGCTTCATCTTGTAATGCTAATAAACAACAAAAAATATCAATAGAAAATGTTTCTTTGGTGTTTCAGAGCAGTTTTGTGGTCAGGCGCCCTCTAGAGTCAGGTTTTAACTAATACCACCATTCGATGATTCCTATATGATTCATTTTTTTTTTTGCTTTTTGTGATTACCATTATGGAAGCAAGCAACCTAACAGTCAAAATAGCTCCGCTGTCTTTGTAGAATGTCTTCCTCAAAACAAAGTTGATAATGTTCTGTCAAATCTGACAGAGGTCCGCCCAAAAGGTATCTACATACCAAGTATCAAAGTAATTGAGCAGATAGTTTTCAAGAAGAAAACAAAAGTACTGAATTTTTTATGAAAAATGACAAAACTTTTGCTAAACAGTTAATTGATAATATCACCACAAAATGTACAAATCTGACATAGGTCTAACAACATACCAAGTATCAAAGCAATTGAGCTAGCAGTTTTCACGAAGTAGTCAAAAATATCATTTTTTTAACCAAAACTGACAAAAATATTTGCTAAAAATTTATAATTAATGGTATCACCATGGAATGAACAAATCTGACATAGGTCTACCTAAGATACCAACATTCCAAAGTGTCAAAGCAATTAAGCTTGTAGTTTTCAGGAAGAAGATGGAAATGTAATTGTTGACAGACGTCAAACTATGGACAATCACCTATATGACTAACTCCGCTCTGTCATCAATGATGACAGGAAAGCTAAAAAGAATGCTTTCACAACATGCAAATAATCAGTTCAAATAAATCATTTTCATGATGAACTTCATCAGCAATACTGAGCAGAAACACTTGATAAACACCCAAGGCAATTTATAAGAATGATTATATGTACCGTACATTGCATGTATCTAATAGAACCAACACTTAAATGGGAACATCCATACCTGCCACTTCATCAAACTTTGGCATCAGAGGAAGTGTTAAGACAGGTTCAGGAATTTCTCGTAAATATTGTTTTAATAGCCCCGCCACCACATGTGGATCATAGTCTTCAAGGTTGACAGATTGTCCCTTGTCATAGCACTGTCTTAGTTGAGCAATCTGAGACTTCACTCCAGATAACCTGTATATCCCCTCAGTAGTTAAAGCTGAAGCAAAAAAAATATTCATGTGAGTGCATTCAGTATTGATACCAGACTGCTGTTTTGCCTTAGATCCTATCTTCAAATATTTCAGGATTGCAGCTCATGTTTCAGTAGGTGACCATGACCATTGATTGCCCGTAAAACAGGTGATACGGTGGGCATTTACAATGTGTGAATTACTACTTGTTTGTTCTTTCCTGCCTACTTGTCTATTTGAATGTAAAATGCAAACACCTGCTTTGTAGTCAAACATGAAACAACTGAGAACACTCAAGCTTTAAGTGTTCATGCATTGAATATGTGGGGGTTTCTCATTCTCAAACACATTTCAAACTGTGGGGCTGCCAGACTTATCAGTAACAAGGTTACTTAAGTTCTGATATGAGTTTTGTTGTGTGTTCTCCAGAAACTTAAAGAGATTATAGATTTCTAATGTCATTCTTACCATTATTTTCAACAAAATCCACACAGTCTCTGACAACTGCAGGTAACTCTACTCCATCATAGAGTTTACTTCTATCCACAGAGACAGACAGGGGCACACCAAATACAGCTTTGGGTGGTTTCACAACTAGAAGCAGAATAAATACATATTCTTTTATCTAGGGCACTGAGGTAATACAGATTTTTTAACAATCATGCCGTCAATAGTATTTCCCATAATGCAATGTGTGGTGTGAGCTTCCATTTATGGTAAAGGGTGTGCTGGTGATAGAGCTGATTACCTGAAACCTCCTCAGTTGCGTCTACATACTGTTGAGATGATTTCTTTCTCTGTTTGTCTTTCTTTTCTGCTTTGCTTTCCTTTTCCCGCTCCTTCCTCTCTAATTTAATGTCTCTTTCCCGTCTGTCAGACTTACTAAACCGTTCTTTCTCTTTCTTCTCAGCTTTGCTTTCTTCTTTTTCTCGTTTCTTTGCTCTACTATCTTTTTCTCTTTCTTTCTCTTTAGTCTTATTTCCCAAACCTCTTCTGAAGATGCCTTTTGACTTTTTTGTTTTAGCTGGGCTCCTGTAACAATTATGATGGAAAAAATGCTTTGAGAGTAGTTCACATTCATTACTTCATGAGTACCAAGAATACCATTCATCAAACTCACTGGATATGCGTCTAGTATCAGGCATCTATACTCCTGTGCTTTTGATGCTCTGATTATTTAAAGCCGGGGAGTCGTCACCTGCGCATGCGTCAGATGGTCATAGCGTGTCATTGTTTACAAACAAGCATCTACCCATGAGCCGTTTTTTGCGTGTGTTGTTATCGTCGCTTGGGACTCGATTCCCACGCGTGCACAGGTGGTAACCCTCTCGTTTAACAGGCAGCGATTTCTTGCACAAAATACGAGTCCCATATTAACAAAGATGCCAATTTTGATTGTTGAGCAGATCAATGAATACAACTCATTCAACTAAGAAAATTCAGAGATGATTGGGATGCATCAAAGGACTCTAAACTGTCAAAGTCAGTATTTAGTTGCATACACTAACCAGAAAAAAAAATGCATTTATGCTTTAATACCAGAGAGCACATTTAATAGTGCGGAAATCACTTTTCATATTCACAAAGATCACATGCATGGCACAATGACTGTTGCCATTTATGAAATAACTAATTAAACCTTTGGTTATCATTGTTTTACACACCATAATGGCACAATATTTTGCAAATTCTTATGTATTCTTTTCAACTATTAATTTTGGACAAAACGGTTATAAATACCTATTTTCTGCAGGCCTAAATATTCAAAAACAAGCAGCCTATCGGCTGAGATAGCTCCGCTGTTAGAAATGCACATTTCAATTAAAGAACTGAAGACATCATCAGAAAATGAACAATATGTATAGTATCAAAGCAATCGGACTTACAGTTTTTAACAAGAAGTCGAAAATATCACTTTCTACCAAAAATTACAAAAATATTCACGAAAATTAGAGAATTGAAGACATCATCACAAAATGAACAAATCTGAGAGAGGTCCACATGTAGTACCTATATATGTAATATCAAAGCAATCGGACTTGTGGTTTTTAACAAGAAGTCGAAAATATCACTTTTTACCAAAAATTACAAAAATATTCACCAAAATTAGAGAATTGAAGATATCATCACAAAATGAACAAATCTGAGAGAGGTCCACATGT